GAGAAAGCCATTGGCTTTGTTAACAGTGTCCAATTGCTGCATTCAGGCATAAAACACTACTATTTGCTTTGTATATAGTCTGGACTGCAAGATGAAAAGAACACTCTAAAGGAAAAATAGAATTGCAAGTACATAAGCTCATATTCTGAATAATTTTCAAAATATCTGAAATAATTAATCACAAATAATAAGTTGATGGAAAATCATATGGTAGATCCAAATGTATAGTTTTGGCTGGTTATTTTGTTTGAATTGTTCTTTGCAACCATCAGGTATTCTATGATTATTTTTATGCTATTGTGTAGAAGAAAATAGAACTGCATGCAATTCTGTTATTATCAACAGGAATATTCTTGGATTCAAATATTACAAATGTTCTTATAAATATTAGCTTGGATTCATTGAAGTTTATTTTTTTCTCCTTTTTCAAAAGATATTAACAAAAGAAAAGTGTAGATGGGATGAAGAATCTAGAATAATCATTGCATAGATTAGATTGATAATTTATTTACTATAACTCAAAAATAGATCTTAAAACAATTATAAATCTATGTAGATGTCTTAAATTTTATATTGCAGTGTAAAAAAATCACAAAGTTGCTTTTCAGTTTCTCAAATTTATGAAAGCAATTTACAAATAGTGGATCTTAAACAGTCTAATAATATTTATTGAAGTTTAATTATATGAAATGATCTAATATGAATCTTTACATATATCAGAGTCCCAATAATAATTCTGATTTTCCAATTATATTTATACCTTTAAAAAGATTTGTTCCCAAAGCTTCTTTAGTAAAACAATTGTATTTATCACTGAAATACATAAAGTTTTATACTTTTCTGTTGTTGATAGTGAATACATATTTTGAGAACCCGATTAATTTTATTTATTTAATAAATATTATAACCCCTAGTGTGAAATTTCACTTGAGATATTGGTAAATGTTTGCTGTTACATATTTTTATGATCTTCCCAATATGTATTATAGAGTTCTAAAATAGTAATCATTTGAAATAAAATGAATGTTCAAGAAAAATGTGAATTATGAGGTTTTCATGCTATTTCTATTATTCATCATACAGACACAAAGAAGTATAATTAAGGGGAAAACCATCACAAGTTGTATTTTACAGTAATATGTTATTTTGTTTTTGTTAGCATTTAAAAAAACAAAAATAAGTGAATTTGTGGTTCTAAGATAATTAAGGTAATGAGGTTTTCCCCACCATTCACTCATATCTGATTCTTGGAGACTGCATGTTTTTTTTTAGTACAGTTTTTCAGAAGTGGTTTGCCATTGTCTCTTTTCTAGAACAGGGAGAAAGTGACTGACCCAGGGTTACCCAGCTGGCTTTGTGGCTAAAACAGATTAGAGCCACAGTCTGATGCCTTAATCATTATACCAAACTTATTATAGATGAACTATATAAATAGTTAATATATATGATGACAAATTAACAATCTGTTATTCTCAATTAACACTTCATTATGAAACATTGTCATGTTATTATTTTCTTCAGTCTTGTGATCTAAAATCCAATGTCTAGCTAGAACATTATCAAATATTTGCTTTCATAAATACCTGGATATTCAGCCACTATAATATCAATTAATGAATCAGAACAGAATTGGAAGGGACCTTGGAGGTCTTCTAGTCCAAACCCCTGCTCAAACTGGAAGCCTTATATCATTTCAGACAAGTGACTGTCAAGTCTCTTCTTACAAATCTCCAGAGATGAAGCACCTACAACTTGGGTGGCAAGCCATTGGTTATTAATGTCACTGTTAGAAGGTTTTTTCATAATTCCAGGTTGCTTCTGTTCCTTGATTAGTTTCTAATTCAGTTCCACTGTGTAGAATCCTAATGATCCTGAAGTGCTAGTCTACCCTGGTATTTATTCAAATCATTATTGTTTTATCTGTCATGATCTGGCTTTGAAAACCTGAAGAAATTGTCTCAGGGCTCTGACATTCAGGGAGCTATGTGCACAAGATTTGTGTCTTGAAAGGTTTACAACTCTACTACAATTTACTTCAAAACTTAATACTTTCATCAGTTTGTTAACTGATTTCTATTTGTGATCCTTTCAAATATTAAAATGGACTGAAAAAATGCTGTTTCAGCTCTTAATAAGTCATAATAATATGATTTATGACTGAAAAAGTGTAAATTCAAACTCACAGTGAGATGTAATATGCAACTTACTTTAACATAAAAGAAGTAGCATTTTAAGGATAATTGGTTGTTTCAATAATGGCATTTTTTTAATAGCTGTGCAATATTTTATACATACTGTAGTTTTTATTTCTACAAGTAAGCTATGCCCTATCAGGTCTATATTAACACCATAGCATGCATGTACACAGTAGGGATACATCACATCCGTTTTATTTTACATCATTGCTGCTTAATTGTTCTTTAAAATTCTTCAGTGATAAGTGATACTTTATTCAGATATTTCAGAACATTTAAATCAATTTCCAATGTTTTGGTTAGAACAATTTTTCTTTAAAGAAGACTAACCTGAATATTCTAAATGATACTAAACAAAATTAATCTTGTAATCTGATAAGTTTTTAGAAAAGCTCAATTTGTTCAATAAACCTAATGCAAGCATACATGTATTTTCAAAACATTGTTTTCCAAGATTAAAAAAGGCTAAATACCCTGGTGAATGATAAGCACAAAACACCACAGCCCAACATACTTGCAGTTCAATCTCAGACAAGAATTCACATCTCTTCATCTCAGTCCTTGTCAGCCCTTCAAGATAGTTCAGACAAGAAGGGCTATTAATTCTATCTTTAATGGAAGGTTACATTAACAGAGTATTGCAAGTCTGAAAGTGCTTCTCTCCTCTCTTGCATTTATAATCCAAGAAACTAGGGAAACTTTTGATATGTCTCCTACATCCCCAATTTTTCTGCAGATGGATATAAGGCTTTACTGGGAAGATTGGTGGGTGACAGCAGAAATTATTAAAGTTCTATCCCAGACTAGATCCAGGGCGTGAAAACTCAGAAGACTTCTGATAGGAGGTTTAACATCTCCAGGTTTCTGTCCTGTAGAGACTTATTTTTTAAATTATTATTAATTTTATACATACTGAAGACTTAGATGTTCCACTAGAATTACACACATGAACATATTTTTTTTCTAATTCACCAGAAGCGTTTAAATTATTTACATTATACAGATAGTCCTTGACTTACAACAGTTTGTTTAATGACTGTTCAAAGATATAACATTGAAAAAAGTGACTTATGACCATTTTTCAGAGTTATGACAGTTGCACCATCCCCATGATCATATGATCAAAATTCAGATGATTGGCAACTGGTTCATACTTGTAACCGTTGCTATGTCCCAAGATCGTGTGATCCCCTTTTGTGACCTTCTGATTACCAAAGACAATGGGAAGCCAGATTAACTTCATAACCAGGTTACTAATTTATCAACTGCAGTGATTCACTTAACAACTGAGGCAGGAAAGGTCATAAAATGGGGCAAAACTCAGTTA